ATATGCACCCCTGAGGGTTCTGGGGTCACATGGGAGTGTGTATATGCACCCCTGAGGGTTCTGGGGTCATATGGGAGTGTGTGTGCAGCCCTGAGGGTTCTGGGGTCACAGGGGAGTGTCTGTGCAGCCCTGAGAGTTCTGGGGTGACAGGGGAGTGTACAGTATGTGCACCACTGACAGAGGAGGACAGTGTAGAGTTCATGTCTATATATACTGTATATACCTGAAAGTTGATAAATTCATGGCTAGAAAGTGGGGCTGGTGCGTATGATGGCACAGCCACATAGAGAGTTAAGCAACAGTTATTGTCAATTATTGTAAAAACATTATCCTTTCAGTGTGTTTCTGAAGCAGGTTTTTTTTAGTTAAGTGAAACCAATAAACAAAAATCAGGTTTAGCGAGAAACATTCCAACATGATCGGTTATAATCAAGTGCGATCATAAACAGATGTCCAGCCAGGGATGTTTTTTATAAACTGTTGACCTTTTATAAATCAATATTTCTCTTTTTACCTCTAAACATGTACCGTACCTTAAGGTGTTTGGAAAGAGACCAATCCATATAAATATGTTATTAAAGAAGAAAATCTATTGACAATCATAATGTGTTTAGGAGCATATGGCATTATGTTAACAAATTAGTAAATGCCTTAAGTGATAGTTTCACTGGGAGCTCTCTCTGTAGTTCCCTTTCCCTTTGAATATGTAATGACAAATGGGGTTGGACAGCAATTTGTAAGCTCAATAATAACAACAACATCAACAACAATAATAATCTTTCTTACATAGGAAGGTTTTATTTGTTTTCCTGTATTACTTTGTTAAAGACAGCAGAACAAAGTGGGCACCAATAATGTTTGTTTTCATTTTTGCACAGCATCATAAAATACAGAAATATAGGGCCAATCAGTGAAAATGGACTGTCTATCATCTCATTTAAAAAGAGTATAGATCTTTTTGTCCCTGTTCTTACGTTTACCAGGGACAACTTTGGTTTTAGATTTTACCCTTTTTAGGTTTTACTCAGATGTTGAGTAGTATTTCATGTCTGGATTTTTTGGATGTTTGGATTTTGAATGTTGTACCAGCACAATAAAACCTGGAAAGCATCAGGTGTAACTGTATCATAAAACTGAACAGATATTTTATGGATTATATGCATTAAACTGAATATTAAAGTGCCTTGCAAGACTTCCCTCCTTCCAGGAATGACTCATTTTGCTGCATTACAAATGATCTTTACATTGCGTTTAATGTCACTAAATGTCCAAGTCAAGGTTTTGACTTACTGTATAAATGATCTGCAGTGAGGGTTAAAAAGTGCTGTTCACCCAAGGGCCCTTACCAATGTGAATGAGTTTGCACATGTTTACAAAGACGAGTGGGCGGAAATGATGCTATTCTGTTGTGCGAAGGTCATAGAGAGCCCAAGCTGTAAGGGGCTCCTGCCAAGTATTGATTTTGGGAGTGAATATTTACACAATAAACATAGTTTAGTTTTTTTATTCTTCTGTACAGTTTCTTTTGACATTTAACTTTAATCACCAGATGATTAATTCAGACATTCAAATGACTAAACATTTAATGTAATTTGTAAACACTATTTGTAATTGAACAAACTGGGGCATCATTGGAATGGGGTTAATACTTTTACAAGGCACTGTACATTATATACATAAATATTACATACAGTGTTCAATATATTTAAATACATATATTGATTCATTCCTATGTGTATTTAAATGCTTTAAATATGGAGCTTGTTGTATTCAAACTACTTAATGTCACTGAGACAGTGTAATGATCATACTGTTTTAAATGAACTGATCATGCTGAAATCACAGAATGTTTTTATTTGAAGAACATTCAGGAGCAAATAGAAATTCTATTGATTATTCAACTGTGTAGTTTTAACTTATCTTTCTCTATTTTAATTTTGGTGTTCTGAACCAAGCTTTTTGAGCTTGTTCTAGTTCAATTTTTAAGCTAACCAAAGAAACGTTTCATTTTTCAAAATCAGCCTAAACAAATTTTGAACCCTTGGTGAGACATGATAATACACAAGGATACTTCCCAGAAATTTGTTGATTGATGGAAATGTAATTTTTATCACTATTACTGAACCTCAAATAGGAAAGTATTTTCCTGCACCATGAGATCTGTTAAAATTTGATGAGACAATTTTGTTTGTCTGGGAGTTGAGAACAGAATTCACATTAATATTCTTTCAGTAAACGTTCATACTACGGGATACGCATTCTTTCATTGCTAATATCTTTCCCTCCTTTTTCACCATTCATTCCATGTTTCATCCTGTTGCCATCCAATTAAAAGCCTCCAATACACAATACTGTGATGACCCCTGTTTACCACCTGGTAAAGACTTTCTGCCTGCAGTGTAGTGCTGATTTATGTGTGCCTGCACATAGGTGTTATGTGTAATTTCTGCATGAAAGCACATGCAACCTAAATACCTGTACAATGTGTTTGCATTTCCGTGATTTTGTTAAAATGATTTCCATACTGCTACGAGCTCTAACAGAATCAATGTATGTTGAACAATGACATTTCATCCATGTCATGAATAATTAAGGTTTTGCATGTACAGTATTATTTCACTTTCAAAATGCTGAATTTCTAAAAATTTCAAAATGCAAAGCCTTTCAAGTCTAAAAATACAGTTTCCTTTATCTATTTATGTAGTCAGTACTTTATCTTAAAATGGAGAAGTATTGTATTAGTTCAGGTGGGTAGCTGCGTCAGCATGCGTAGGCTGCAAAGGAACAAGTAATAGGTTTATTCCATGCTGAAATAAAGAAGAAAGAGAACACAACGTTTCGGCCGTGGAGCCTTCTTCAGGTCTTTTTTTCAGCATGGAATAAACCTATTACTTGTTCCTTTGAAGTATTGTATACTGTGGAAGTATCAGATCTAGCTCATCAGCTCATTAAATACACATTTTTGAGCAATTACTGTGCTGAGATATCAGCCATCTAAGTTACTGTTGCACATCTGATATTTCAAATGTAAACCGACAGGTGAAGATTCGAGGGGAGAAGCTGTGAGCACTCCGCCCCTTCCTCTATCATTCAATTTTCTCTTTCCCATTTAAACCCTAACCCTGTTAACCCGTGTGTGTAAAATTGTGAATTCCCTCCTCCTCCTCCTCCTCTTTCTTTCTTGTTGCCTTTGCACCCCAGTTCCCTCTGGGGGGTCAGTGAAGCTCGCTGCCCTGGCCTCATGATGGCAGTGCCACCTTGACCCTTCCTGGGGGGGTTCTCTCAGCGTGAGGCCAGAGGGGGACCCCCCTACTGATTCTCCTCCTCTCGGTCCCCTGAGGGCTCGGCTCCCAGTCGTGAGGCAGTGTCTCTCAAGTGACTCTCTCATTTGGGCATTAAAGACAAATTATTATTATTAAGCAATTATTAAAAAGTTTAAACTTTATATTAACTAGCAGAAATGTAATATCAAAGGTACAGTATTTGTAGGATTTACTGGTCTCACTTTTAATGACACAATTAATTAAATGCCCTTTCAAGTTAAGCCTGGCTTACTCTTGCTGGAGACTGGTGCGTGCCTTTGGGTATGACATGACATGAAGAGCCAGAGCCTACAGATTAATGTCAACAATTCAATTTCAGGGAACTTGCTCCTCTGTTTGGATTTACTGTATTATAATACATAATCTGAAAAATGTCATCAGTGCCAAGTACTGTTTATTCACTTGAAATAATCAGACTTTACATAAACTTCCAAGTTGGTATTTAACTTTAAAGTTTCTTTAGTATGATAAAATAAAACAACTTGGGCTATATTTTTAGGCCAGCATTTTTTTTATAATTTCAGTTTCTCTTGCATCAGCTTTGCACAATTTATAACTGCAGTTATAAATATTTCACAATATTCTGTGAAATGACTTTAATGAAATTAAGTAACTTTTATGTTATTCTTACAGAATAGTTAAAAATAGAATTTCTGAATATTTTGGAGAATTATGATTCTGTGCTTTTATGCATGTCTGTGAATCAATAGCGTATTGTATTGTTAAAAGAGATATTTTGATATAATAATCATGTACATTATATTAAAAACATTGAAAATACAATCATGATTATGATTTCTGAATGAAAGGCCTTCAATTTGGAAAAAAACAGAAAACTTCAAATGTATCTTTTATTTAAAATATGAAATGTATGCTAAAGTTAATCATTCATACTAATTAATTTAGAATATCAATAAGAAGTTATGCAAATATAGATAAAATCATTTAATCATCATTAAAGTCTAAGTTCCAGTTATCATATTTCTATAAACATACAGTACATGACACAATTCAATTATAACTAATTTTATCTTGTTCCCATAGTTACACTTTAATACGTGGATATCATTACAAACACCCTAGATGTGACAATTTTAGGAATTTAATTTATAAAAAACTAATTAATTTTAAAGTGTCTATTTAATCTCTTTTGTGTATTGTTTTCTCACTACTGTCATAACAAAAATAATTATTTGTATTAAACAAAATATTAAAGTATGTTTTATGTAATTATTAATAAAATTGCTTTATTAAAAATGCTAAATGAACCACTTTTGTAATACAAGTGAAATACAGTAACAAAGTAATTTAAACAGTTTGCAGTTTGCAGTACAACAGTTGGCTAATAAAGTCAACACAATGAATGTCTCCTGTATAGGATCATATGTTCCTTTGCAGACATTTATGTTTCACAACAATCATAATTCATTCATTTCTCCCCTGTGACTTAATAACATTTCATGGTCATTCAGAATACAAAATATATTTTTTTACCTACTACAGTATACTGTATCTCCTATAGATTTAATTGTTTTCATTTCTCTGCACTTATGCCTTAAGTGGCTGAGATTACATTACCTCCTAAACAAGGTTACTGTATGTACTGTATACAAGCCACCATCTTAGCATCCAGGGGGTTTCTTAGCAACAGTACCAGTGTGTATGGCATTTTTTAAGGAACATGAAACACGTTTCTCTTCTTTGTGAACTGATAACTCATACTTGGCCCTTTCCACCACCATACTGCATGTTCAGTACAAGAGAAAGCATGTCTGTATATCTGAAGAAAGAGGGGAGAACATCTCAAATAGTTGTAAAGACTGTGTATTGGAATCAATGAATTATGTTTTTATATATAGGTTTTAATACCTCCCAGTATATATTACTATTTACCTCAAACCCTTTGAACTGCATGAAGAACTTGTTGAGGATAGTACCAAAGTATTCAGAACACCTTTTTCATTTAGGCAAAGGTTTCATGTTAATACAATGGAAAGAGATTTAAAGAATGTTTTAGGATTCTGAATGACCATTCAGACCATTACATACAAAATTGTCTCAGCCATCCTGAAGAAATGAAGAAATGAAGAGACTGAAATCAAAATTTGACTATGAAAAAATCAACATTGAACGTCTCCATCTATAGAACAAATTCTCGATTTGTTTTTTTAAGTATGTCATACTATTAACATGACTGTATATGTAATGAAAATGTTGCAGTACATATACAGTATCTGCATAAGGAAAGAACTGCTTTTATTCCACAGTTCACAGTATGTTAGAGTACACCTTGATTGCCAGAAATAGGACAATGAATACTAATTGTTAAAATGTATTATCCTAGATTTTAAAGTAAAGAGAGTTTTTCTTAACAGTTGATCAATTGGTTGAAGCCATTTTCAGTGTCAAGTTTCTGTGAAATCCTTTGAGGCATACTGCATTCTCATTAACATAACTGCCATGTAAATGATGATTTGTAAACCAGAGTCTTAAAAACCTCTGCTCTTAAAATCAAAATGATTCTTTTTCCCCATTTCTCTTCTTGGATGACCTGTTCTCATATTATATTTCATGGATACTGCTTACCTGAGTTGGCTTTTTATGTCTAGAATAAGAAGTACTCCAATGTATTTTGTATGTTGTCCATGAATGTTCTGCCTGCATCCGCATGTCATGTTTTGAATTTGTATGAACTTAAATTATAATTCCATTTCCTTTAACCCTAATCTTTATACCTTCATCCATTTTCCACCTTTGGCATTTTACATGTCTCTGTGGCATGACTTTCCATGAGGTATTGTACAGATAAGAAACTATAGTACTCTAGACTCTAATGCAACATGCTTGACACTGCTGTTAAAGAATACAGTATGTTTTGAACTTTAGTCAAATGCCATTGAATTTTATTTGGAATGCACTTTGCTTGATGGGTCAATAGGAGCATGGGTCATTTTTCAAATAAATGTCCTGGTGTTATGTAAATTGAATCCTGTGCATTTCTTTGGCAGTCTTATTTGATCTCATTTTATTTTTGATAAACTTGCTTCACCAGGAATTGGTGGTGAACACCCACTATTGTTTTGGGTTTTTAAAGTAACAAAATATGTGGTGTGACTTAAAAAAACAATAAATATTGATCTGATATATGCTTATATGGACATATTAGCATATAAAACGGAACAAGATGGAGAATTAAGAGATAGGATCTTTATAGTCATTAAAAATATCCTTACAACGCAAATCTGGTATAAGGGTTAAATAGACAGATATACTGTATAGGAACAAGTAATAGGTTTATTCCATGCTGAAAAGAGAAGATAGAAAACACAGCATTTAGGAAGTGGAGCCTTCTTCAGGTGTGAGAAAACGTGTAGCTTTTGTTCTCCTGCTACATTACCTTTGCTTATGGCCCTGTCTTTCTCACACCTGAAGAAGGCACCACGGCCAAAACTGTAACGAAGCGTTCTTTCCGGCCCCTATGCAGACAACGCGATTCGGGGTAGAGTGGGGAAAACACGGGGGGAAAAGTCATGCAGGATACGGGAATGAAGGCAGGGGGGCATGTCCATGGAGTGCTGGTGGTCGGGGGAGTTGTGGCCGAGGCAAACGATCCAGGGATGAGACTAACGGGAAATCCAAAAACAAGGCAAAAGTCCAAAGGCAGGCGATCCATCCGAGACAGACGATTTAAAAACGGGAACCGGGTTAGAACCGGCAGGGGGCAGGGGGCACAGGAACGGGAACGGGAACAAGAAACAGAAACTAAAAAGCATAATGGAGACAGGCGCATCCAGGTCCCAGGCTCACATGATGCGGAAACCAATGCAGAGCCCGGATAAGCGTCAGCGTCTGGCTTTTAAGGGGGACCTGAAAAGGGGCTGGAACAGGGAGCAGGTGCAGGAAATGAACAACAAACAAGGAAGGGCTGGAGCGCCCTTAAGGAGGAGGGCGCTCCAGGAGGAGGAGTGGTTTGCGATCATGACAGAAACGTTGTGTTTTCTTCCTTCTCTTTTCAGCATGGAATAAACCTATTACTTGTTCCTTTGCAGCCTATGCATGCTGACGCAGCTACCCACCTGAACTACTACAGATATACTGTATATATATATGTTAGAATTTTTCATATACAGAAATTTGGACTTGCTTGTCTTTTGCACTAGAGCTTTTAGGTAGTGTGGTTTAAATGTTTAGAATTGCACTTTTATATAGTTGTAGTGGCTTTTAATGCAGTTTCTGACAATTTGTCATTTTCTGACTTGATTAAATACAACTTATTTGCCTTAAAGTACACTAACGCCATTTTTTTACAGTTTTGCATGTTATCATGACTAAGGGTCCAAAAACAACCCCTTCCCAATTCTTACCTTCCATATCTTTACTCTAACAGGATCACATCATCATGGTTTCAGCAAAACATTGCAGGGAGCAGAGAGCCCTAGAGGCAAGGATTCGTATAGAGCATTTACTTGTGCAGTGATGGTGATTCCATAACAGTTCTTAAGATAGTCTGGATGCATAATCAACTAATACTATATCTTTATTTTATAAGATTGCAAAGGGCTAGAAGTATTGTAATTCATTAACACGGTGCTGTTTTGCTTGACTATGCTTTGTAAAGTGAATTTTCTTAACAAGACTAAACAGCATTTTAAAATATTTTTTGCATCTTTCTAAAAACAACTCTAATTTACAATACATAAATAGACATATACATTGTATATAATACACATATATATAGTACAGGTATTTACAGACTTACAGTATAACCCAAATCCTGTGCTCTTTTTAGTCCTTATAATCTTTGACATCATTTTATCCTGGCTTCAGTCCTGAGTTTCACTCTGCTTTCAGGTATATCCCTTAGCTTATCCATCACCAACATTGTCTGGAAATTAGTGGATAAGTTTCAAAACAAAAATAATACTGTTCTGTTCTTAAATAACAGTATCTTCAGGAAGATGTTTTAAGGGTGAAGAATTTTGAATAAGTATAAACATGTTTATACAAACTACTTTTCTGAAAGTAGACAGAATAAGGAAGTTTTAATATCAAGTCCCCTTGACGTGAATTTATATGTTATGAGATTATCTTAACAGAGGAATAACGAAAAACTGCAGACAGCGAATTAAAGCATGAGTAGACAATGCTGAAGAAGATGCTAAGGACTGAAAAGACAAGAATGAACAGTGATGCTGCCACATTGTGAAAGCTGTTTGACTGATGGCCTTATTCACCAAGCTAATTCCCAAATGTTTTTAAGAAAAAAAACGTCAAGTGAAAATTAAGATAAACACTTAGTCATCTTTTAAGAACTCTTAAAATGATCATTTGGAAAGATGGGTCACAGTTAAAATGAACAACTTAATTGACATGCTAAATTCACACAACAAATGAATGAATGAATAAAAAAAAGTTTTACACTTTTTAGAATCAAGAGACTTTCTTTAAGGAAGAATTCCATTGTACCAGTACATGTACTGGTTACATATGGCAATAAAGTTCAAGTTCAAGTTTCTAGTTCAAATGCAAACTTAGAATGGACATCAAATGTTTTCTTTACATGGGTCAAAAACTCAGAGTATCAGCAGCTCAAATTTTAACAAGGCAATGTCTTCCTCTGCATTGTTCTTTGAATCAAAACACTAATTTTGAGGTTTGGAAATATTTAAGTATATGTACAGTATCTTATAATTGTGTCAGAATGGTGAATGTGAAAACTATTGACACATGTATAAATGACAATTCTGCATGTATTTTGAAATGGCATGCTGCTTTGCTAATGAGGTGGAACTGTACATACTGTGTGCAGTATGTTGCTGATGCTACTTGTCTGCAAAGCACTGCAGCCAGAAAGGTGGTAAAACTATTTCATAAATTGTGTTGTTCTCGGTGTTTACATTTCCTGTTTTAGATCAGTTATCACTAAAACTACTTCAGTCATTTTGTGATTGTCCAAATACATCATGCTCATGTGTTTTTTCACTTTGCTTTTAGAATGTAACAGGTAAAGGTACACACATTGTACCACATACTGTACACCCTATGCCTTAATACACATACTGTGGAACCATAGTTTTGCCACGATTCAGTTTTATCATTCCATTAAATAAATACAATTTACTATATACCTGATGCTTAAAAGGTATGCAGCTGATGCATAATGCAATGCATTTCATTTTTCACAGTGACATTCATTTAAATCGAGATACCTGTGTACTAAATCCAAGCTGTTAATTGGTTCTTTGTCGCAATATGCAAGAAGCTACTTGTGTGTTTTTGTTAAGGGTACAAATAATGACTAGTAATTGGATGTTATCATACTGATTTTTAAGGAAGCATATTTCTTCCAATAAAATGCTCATTCACATTGTGCTACTTTCTTTCAACTATGCGCTCAGGAGGCATACATGAGTTCAGCTCCGATCCCATGAAAGTCATAGACGAAGTGGTGGAAGAGTCCACTGACTGGATTCACGGGGTTGTGTCCATGCTTTCTGACATGATTTCACCAGACGATGATGATGATGATGATGATGATGAAAAAGGTATCCATTTTTTAAAAAGCATTCCACTCTTAATAGCTGTTTTTGACCATTCCTTAAAAAAACAACACACTTATAAAGTAGTGCTTAAGTGGCGTTCTAACACAACCCACTTAAAAAAAAAAATTCAATGTTGAAATAGTCATTCCAAATTTGTCATAGCATTGTAATAAAGTGCTCATTCAGTATTTGATTTGTCACGTACAGTACATAATATGAACAGGAAACATTGTAAGACAAGTATTTGTATTAAAAAAATAAATCTGTCCATAGTAACAACATTTTTATAAATATATGTTCAAAACATTCGTCTTTTTATTTATTTTAAAATAAAAGTATTTCAAAAATACTGAATTTACACTTGCATTTTTACAAAAATCAAATTCCAGAGCCAATATTTTCAGCTTCCAAGATCCTATTTCCAGAACCAAAATGTTAAGATACAAAGATAAATGATAGGATTGTAACATGAGTTAAATTAAGTTTAACACTACATACTGTATTAGAACCTGGGAGGTCAAACATTAACTTCAGACATGCAACATTAAAATGTAGTTTTGACATCCCATTTCCTCTGCTATTGCCAGGTGATGTGCACGAAAATACGAGTGCTGCTGTACCTTAAATTTGCACTAGTTAAGCCCATGAATGAGGTTAATAACTCCAGAGACATGTCTCTGAGAGGCAAAGAGGCAAAGATGAAAAAAGAAGAAAGTTTTCTGACCAAACTTCAGCCAATGGCTCCATTTAACAAGTACATTATTTAGAGCTTTACTTTACTAACTGAACGGGTGGTATCTTCTGCCTTATATGGCATGCAAAGTTATTCTTTACTGTGAAGAATAAGGATCCTAAAAAAACCTTGAAAACCTTGTTTTGTCCATTTCTAAAAAGCAACAACATTACTATTGGGTGGCATCACATTTTGTTTTCAAGAATGATCCTACTTTACATTCTAGTGCTGAGGAGTGGACTGCTCTCGTATCCGCCCTTATCTTTGTGTACGTTGTCATTTTTTATAAAACTGTCATCATAGTGCACGTTTTACTGTCATTATAATGTGCATCAAAAGAATCCTATCACTTGCAGTATATTTGCAGCTATTATAAGGAAAAGGAAAATATTTTTATTAGTAGACACACTGACATTTTATTGAACAGATATATAATCAACAGGGCTCCCTGCCCTAAAAGTAACAGGGTTGTAGTGTTTGTGGCTGTTGGTGGAAACAAAACAAGTTGCACATCCATGATGTATGCTTTGCAGCAGGTTGCAAACACAGTGCTGTCTGGTGGGATATGTCCCACTCCTCTGTTCACTGATCTCCAAGTTCTAGGTCTTCCCAGCTCAACCAGTAAATATTCAGTGGAGTTCAAGTGAGTAGGATATCCACATTAGAACAATCACTTTCTCATCTTGCAAGAAAGTCATCACACAAGTAGCAAAAGGACGTACAGTATGTGTGTCTTGTGCAATGTTGTAACTTCTCACAGGGAGGCTGTGCAGGCGAGGTCCTGGTCCTTCATCAAATAATGTAGTGCCATGTAGTCAGGCTGCCAACAATCGCTATGAGCAGAGATCTGTAGCAACTATGCAATCCTGCACAGAGCATCACGTGGGAACCTTCCATTGACAGCCCTGTTATACACAACAACAATCAGTGTGTTATTGTGCACATCTGCACCACATTCTCTGACATTCATCACTGCTCTCCAGACAAAATCTTAAATTATCATTGTAAAGAACACCTGGTACTTGATGCTGCTGAGATGACCACCCTGTTCTTGTGTGTTGATGAACAACAAGGTACTTGGGCCTCTGTGTCTTCACCTGGCCTGGAAACGATGACTGATTATTTACCTCCTCACACTTAAACTGTTGGTGTGCAACAGTGTGTTGCTCCTGCAGTTAATAATGCAGTGGAACTGAAAATGTGAAAAGTATCACAGAGATGAACCCCAAAGGACCAACAAAGACTGATGATAGCCGATCAGTTGCGACAAGGTGCTATAATTTTAAACTCCTAGGCCACAACCTACAATATCATTGACTGATTGTAATACACCATAATATTGACAGATAGCTATAATATATTACTATACCTGGTCATAATTGTCTTTCTCAAGTGGTCAATTATGAATGAGCAATTCAAAATGACATCAAAACATTTCATCAATATCCAATATCGGTATACTGTATTTTTCTTAATACACACATCCAACACATAACATTGTTTCTTTTGTTCCTCAGTGTAAGTGTTTTTGCTTCTTGCATTTTTATAATAAGTTTGTGTGTAACACTTCATTATACTGTAAACAGGTAGAATAGCCTTTAATGCAAAATACCTAAGAGAAACACAAACCCACAGTTTACAGCTGAACAGAACTTTAAAATTGATGATTTTCATGCTCATTTAAAGTTACAGACAACTGACAGAGTGTTTTGGCGACTAAGATATTTTGCCTATTTTGATTATTTGTTCATAAGATTTTAGCAGAAATCATTTTGAAAAGTATGATGCAAGGGAACTCTTTCCCTGTCAAAACTGCGGCAAGTATCACCCATTTTTCACACTGACTGATTCAAAAACCATTCAGCTGGGGTGAGTAAATAATCTCTAGCAGTGTAACTACAGATGATTCATCAGCCTGAATTGACTGTATATACAGAGAAAGTACATTCCATGAGGGATATAATAATGCATTTTTTCCAGGCTTTGAGACTCATTCCACTTTGTCGGAATATTGTGCTCTGTATGCTTTGGTTAATTAGCTAAAGAATTCACAATTTTCTTAGAAAAACATTTTTATAATCAATCTACAGCAGTATTGGGAGCACACCAGGTTAAGGTGGTAAGGGAGCTGGGAGGGAAAACATAATCAGATCCATATCTATATGGTTTCTATACACCTTATTTTCAGTTCTAGTTTGTTAACATACTAGTGTTTACTTTCCCACTGGCCGATTTCATCATCTTTGAAATAAATTCCCTTTGCATCCAGCCCACAGTATAGGAATATGTCTCACCAATGATTAGTATTTGCAGTGTTCACAAAATACCATGGAAAACATATATTACTAAAATGACTGTTTTAAGAGTTTCTATTATACATAGAGGAATAATTTTTAATCAGACATTTACAGTAATTCTCTCTCCTTGCAATACAAAAACTAAAATGATGAGACAGATTTACTGAACCCAGTGCCTGCAAGTGCATAAACATAAGACTAACATGCTTTTGGAAATATTAATGTTTGCACAATGATTATTTTGTTTGCATGTTTGCAAAACAGGTGGCATGTACTTCAAACTAAAATACATGTATCTTTCTTTCAACAAATACAGCACATTTGTTCATGATTAGCTGATGCACAGAATCTGAATATAACTTTCCTAGAGAACCTTCTAGTAAGTAAGATGACATTAATTTCCTATACTGTATTTCAAGAGTAATGATCCTCATGAATAAGCTCATATTAAATTTTACTATTATAGTAGCTACAGTATAAGTTGAATCTGATAGATATTGCATTTAATTACAGGATTCAGGATATTAAATGAATCCAGAGGAAAATAAACTGCTTTTATCTAGGGACAAGTCTTTTTTTCTCTGTTCTGTTTCACATATATAATTTATTATGTGTTTATAAATATTTCAGAACATCTATTTTGTGGGTCCCTTTCTTGCACTGACTTGTTTTTCTTATAATTTAGGTGACACGGAACATCCACTGAAGAGGAAAGGTTTGTCTTTTCTTTTTTATTGTGCTGTTGGTCAGCTAATTTAAGATTAAAATAGAAATTAATTTAATTTAGAAGGTAGAGAATTATATATAGGGATTAAAGGTCCTAACCAAATGTATTACTTGGCTGCAAATCATAAAAAGATATGGACAGTATTTGTAAATTAAGGATTCTAAATTTTAGAAAATCCTAGTTATACAAGTTTTCCTTAAATTAAAATATATATTTTACTTTAAAATATGTATTTGCAGGACTTTACTTTTTGTTGCATTTTCCTTTCCTTAATAAAACTTGAATACACTAATGTGTCTTACTAATCAATTAAGGCTGTGTTGTTTTTAATAAGCACTGGAATTGCATCATCTTGCACAAGAGCTGGCTGTCTTCCTGTTTGTCTACATAAAGCCATTTCAGTAAACTAACACAAATAGAGCAATTGCTACTTCCATTGGTGATAGCAACATTACACAGCCTGTTTCAAGAAAGTTTGGACACAAGGCCAACCATGTGTCAGAAATGCATCAGTGACTTTCTATAACCCACTGTCACTTTTTTTTCCCCACTAGTATTTCTTAATAACCCATCTGAGCTGCAAAAGAGCTCTAGTGCTCAGAGAAAAAAAAGGATGCCAGTTTAAATTGGGCAGCACAGACTGACTCATCTCTGCAGTCTTTCAAAACAACTCATCCTCAAAACAGCACAGTACATCTCTATTAGTTTTGCCCTCAAGATTTTCTTCTTTCACAGACATGTTTTACTGGATTATTTACCATGTACCATTTTGTTTCCTTGGAATGATGAAGAGCTTCTGTGTGAAATCCATAGTAGGTGCTATTTTTGAAGCACAAATTAAGAATTTTTACGCCGGTGTGTTCACCAATGTTGTGATTCAAAATCAGAGAATAAAGAAGATAATCTGAGATACATACATTAGTTTCAAGATGTATTTCAAAATGTCAGGTGTACAAAACGTTGTTCGTTGCTCAACTGCAGTCTATTTCAGCCTGCTTTTATATCTTAAAGGTTAATACCTATTATACCTGGTGTATATTATTTGCATCATTTAGATTATATTTAAATATAATTAGATATAATTAAATATGTTATTTTTTCATAATTGAATATTAATTGCACTGTCAAAATCAGATCTATCTTGGTAATGGATAAAATAGGGATATAAACAGGCCTCAGGTCATTTAGGAGGTCTTAATTTCTATTGGAAAACCTTTGGCAAAGTGCTCATATTGCACTTTGCATTACAAGATGCAGACAGGTGACATCCAGTAATGGCAGAATTTAAAATTAGGTAAATAGGTGATGCAGTGACAAAATGCAGTAGTACTTCATTTATTGTCATCCCAAGAGAATGAAAACGGAGGCTGGACAATACATTTGATTGTTTTAGATAATTGTTTTCAGGTTTTCTTTGATCTTGTAGTCAGGCAAACATCTGCATTAATTTCTTAATAGCGCTTCTATAAAACCAAACATTGTTGTTGATGAAGGGGAAGAACAAATAGGCACTGGAACAGACGGTGACAGTTCTAACGATGGCAGTGAGCTTGAAGACAATGAAGACTTTATTGGTTCAGTAGGAACCGAAAAAAGTTATCAGAAGGATGTACAAGAAGAAGAGGATAAAGATGAGAGATTGGGGGTCGAGGAAGGTACTTCTTACTTTTCACTGATGCATTTTTAATTACATAAGTATTCCATTGCACACAATTGACATGAATCAAGTTTTGTTTTTAAATACATGGGGATGTTTTGTCTCTTATAAATAGTAGAGTCAGCTAGAGGGACACAATGCTCCAAAACAAATTTGATTTAATAATTGTCAATGTTTCAACAGACAAGCCTATTTCCATTTTTTTTTACTAATTAACTCCCAATTATACCAAAAAGTGGTTAAAATCTCAACCCATGTTCAATGCTTTGCAACCACAGCTGAAGGAAGTCTGTAAACTAACGAGACACAGCTGTGGGCATGTCTATAAGAGCAGGATGAATATTACCCTGTGAGAAGAACAATTCAGGCTGTCAGTCCCGGGCTAGTGCCAGGGCAGAGAAGACACAAGAACAGGTCCCGTGTTTTATATTCACAGAAGTGAGCACATTAGAATGAGTGAGGTGCTGGTCCTTGTAGGCTGTGTCTGCCTAACTCCGACTGAGGCATGGCAGCCAGGCTGAAGCCATGAGAGAGAGAAAACAGGTCACTCTGTATCTGCATGTGGGCAGCGGGTGTGAGACACTGCTGCTCTCTGTGTGCGAGGGAGTGAGGCTGCATTGCGCGAGTGCAGACAGCCCCATGCGCAGCGGCTGCAGACTCAGTAGAAGGCTCACAGCTGAATACAGGATATGAGTTGTGTTAAAAGAGAAGCTAGCAGGCTGCAGCTTTACTGTCCCGTAAGGGGAAGAGGTCCCGCAATGGTTCCAGAGGGGAACAGGGGATTTAGGAAGGTGGTAACAATGTAAAAGATCTTCTCCCCCGGAAGGGGCAGCGAGTGAGATTGAGGGACCGAAAGGGGCCCCAGAGTATTTAAAAGATGGCCTGTTATTAGAGTGGGAGAGATCAGGGCTGTCTCCGATTGTCTGCTGAGGGAGTGTGCTTTATGTTTACAGCAGCAATCATGAGGTAGTATGTGAAGATTCCAGGGTGGAGAAGAGGGTCCTTCACCCTGGCAATATGAGTTATCAGGTAGCAGAATAGACCTTATCTGGCTGCTGTCCTCTAGTCTGACTTCAAGTTGGTAGCACCACCCTAGGGAGGGTATGAGAGGGTGTTCAGCTCTTTGGGTGTCTAGTGTGGCAGGTAAGTGGAAAGACAGCGCAGACTGTGCACGAGAGAGAGAGTTGGGCAGAAAGCTGTGAGCTGTGAAAGCTGTGGCAAGAAGTAGAGAGTCGGCGAAGTGCCTACCTGGCTGCAGGCCTCTGACAAAGTTTGAGTCGTGAGTAAAGGCAGTGGTGGCCAGGTATGAGAGAAAGGTGTGCTGGCAGCTGCAAGCGCTTGGCCAAGGACGCGGGGAGGAGGTGTTGGGAGGTTATGAGATGTGAGATGAGCCTCCTGAGTCCACGAGTGAGGGTAAGCAACATCAGCAGAGATTAGTCTTGTCCTCGAGTCTGACCTCGGAGGAGGTTACTGAAGGGCCAAGGTGTGTGCATGTGAACAGGATATATGAGGATATGTGATGACGTGTAGGGCGATGTGTCATGAGCATGAGTATAGGCCTCTGAGCCTGAAAGTCTGCAAGACGAGGGCTAAGAGGAAATTAGTGAGTGAAATAGCTCTGACAGAGTGAGCAAAAGCAGCCAAGATATTACTCCTTGTGTCTTAGAAACCCAGACGAGTGGGTGCATGAAAGCACCACTCCAGGAGTGACAGGGGAAAAACAGTGTGAACTTGCCTGGATCACACCCTTCAGGTGAAGGTCAGCCCCCTGGCATAACACTATCCATCCATTTGCTAAACTGCTTTATCCAGAACAGGGTCACGAGCTGAGTTCAGTCCTTATAGTGATGATGTATTTAAATAAGACACCCAAAAAGACCCCTTCCTTTAAAAGAAAATTATCATTCAGTTGTTGAGTCAAACTGTAATCATGGTAAAACAAACTGATGAATATAAACAGTGACTGTAATTCCTACTCCTTCTATCTTTCCATGTCAAACATAAGAAATCAGTTGATTCTACTATCTATATAGCATATTTTCTGGACGGCATTTCCATGATTTTTGGGTGTGCTTTCTTTTTTATCTTTTAACATTTTGTCTCAAACTAGGCTTGGCTTGATGCTTCATCTTTTAACAGAATAGTTTAATTCTGCTTTGTAAATGTTTTTGTTTTTTCATATGAGTAATTCATGGTACTTTAACAAATTACAGTATATTTGAAGTGTGAAATCTTCAATATTTCCAGAGGAATATTGTCCTTCTTTGGCATGGTCTTTTCCCTTTCTGGGAAACACGACAAATAGATATTTTGTTTTAAAAATGACACGTTAGACAGACCTTAATATCTTAGTTCTGGCAAGAAAGAGATTGATTATTATAAAGACAATGTAATGTTAATGTTTAATATTAAGTAAAATGTATATTAATAATGCAATTAAATGTTTTGGGCAGTAGGCCCTTCACATAAACTCTTATTCTAAATTAAACATTGTGTTTTGATTTATTATACTGTATATGGCACCTGCGTAGTGTCAACAGTTAATATTAACAGAAGATACAGTATGTTGTAAACAACTCAATATTAAAAGACAATTTTCTTATGGTTGTTTGTGTTTGATAGTTTCCATTTAATGTAGGTTTTTGTTTTTAAAAACAGTTTTTTTAATGTAAATGTTCTGGAATGTGGGGTTGATCAGGTGTAACAGTTTTGCTAAGTGTTTTTCTTACATCAATAGTGCTTGGCTTATTACCGATAATAATTTCTATAATTTTTTTTT